TTAATGAAGTGACTGTCAGACCCAGTTCCCCCAACACACATCCTCAACTTCCTGTCCACGCTGCCACTCCCTAGGAGTAAATCCTTGTCTGTATTGATGACACAACTCATGTTGGAGGATACTAATTCCCAGAGGGAATCCTGCAGGCAAACAATCACCTCGTTTCTTAATGCTGCCATGAAATATTTCCAGTTTATAAGCACGTTCCTGTAATAGTTCTTTATCACAGACAGCAGCACTGAAAGAAGGACGGACCTGATTAAGGAACGCACACAGAGCTGGAGGTGAGCTGACAGGTTGTGACCCAACAGTCAGGAAGAGCCTGAGGCATAAGGCAGGATCTCATTAGGAGACAGAGGAGTCATGTGGAGAGCTGACCTATAGTGATGTGTGTGTGTGTGTGTGTGTGTGTGTGTGTGTGTGTATGGAGTGCTCGTGTTTCAGAAATCATGTAGTATGACATGTGAAACACGCTGATCAAAGAAGAGAATGCTGGAGGCATACTGGACTACGGCTCTGTGCTAATTACAGGTCACACATTGGGTCCCCTTGCTAGCTAATGAGAGCGAGCATTTCTAACATACTGCTTTATGACTTCCTAATATATAAAGGTGCCCATCCCTGCATTACAAACCTCACGGTGTACACACACACACACACACACACACACACACACACACACACACACACACACAAACACACACAGAGATGCAAACATTTCAGTTTCCTACAGCGTCCATTGCTAAGGGGAAACCTGGCCTGGGGGCTGGCACATCAAAGAGACACATCTTACGTTGGCTCAACACGGGGGGACACAGAGGAAGCTTTTATTTTCATCAACCAACAGTCCATCATCCGGCTGAGCGTCTCATGTCAACAGTCCTGCTCCGCGGACACAGCCGCGCCTTTTGTGCCGGACGTGTAGAGCTAGATTACATTGTTAAAACAAATTTCTTCATGTTTAAGAATTAATTAATTTTTTACTTATTAATAGATATTTTTTAGTTTCATCACAGTTTACTTAGAAATATTAACTTGCAAAAGTGAATAAAAAAGTAAACATGATACGATCATATTTTCATGATACAATCCCTCTGAAAGTTTTAATTAACATTTTAAAATCTGCAATTATGCATAAAGAATGACTGATAAATGTTTAATAAACTGATAAATTGACTTCAATCATCTAGTCGCAGTAATATTATCACTCAATGATCACAATGATACAAGAAGAAGATGAAGAAAAATTAAAGCTCTGTCCTGCTAGGATTTTGCCCTTTTCCATCTGGACTGTCACATAAACATCATCTTGGCCCGGACTGTGGCTCTTCCTGCTGCTGACGAGAGAGGCGTGATGCCTGACACACACATGTGCAGCCCAACACAAACGTCTCAGCACAGGGGAAAAAACCACAGATGTTTACAATTACTATCACATGAAGATACACAGTGTAGCACAGAAGACAAATTTAAAGAAGCTACTAGATATCTTATCTCACTCTCTATTATATGTCATACTGTGAGTCCGTTTCTTTGGTTCCTCTGTCATCAGACGGTCTCCAATTTAAGGGGCGTCCTCAATAGGAGGAAGCTGACAGAAATGAGCTCTCTGTATCTGAGCAAACACAGCTCTTATACTGTAACTCAGAGGTAACAGATGGCTCCCTGGAGCAAGAGCTCACTCACAGGGCATCTGCACATATCATATCCAATTAAAGCTCCGCCAGCACATGCTTTCCAATTACAGAGTAAGATTTACTGCCCTGGAGCAGGTCTAATCCAACAGGATAGAGCAGGAACACAGCGACAGAAGGAGAAAAGACAGAGGAAGAAACGGCAGCAAAAACAGCAACAAGTGTGCATGAAAAGTGGATGTACAAAACAATATGTGCCAGCAGATGGGAGGGCGTCAAATGAGGAAGATGAAATCAGTAATCAACATCTAAAAGAAACACAGTGGGGTGGAACTGAGTAATACATAAACAAGCACTCCTCTTCATTGAAACTGAGCTCTTTGAGTACTTTCCTACTGCCCTTTATCTGCTTGATTCTCTCCTACTCTCTGTGCTCACATATATAGTATTTTAATATGGCAGAATTGCCAAATAAAGCTGTTCTCCTTTACATGTTTTTTTGCTTCTGTTGTCAGACAACAGAACAAATATGAATCAATGACTGAAACCTAGCCCATTAAGTCTACATGTTAACCAGCAGTCACTTCCAAGCTGCTGCTGCACTGCTAAAATCCTGATTTTATAACTGCAACATCATCTGACAAAATCACCATACACATAAGTAAAACCAGCAGCTGTTCTGTGATTTTGGTTTGTAAAATGATCGCTCACAGAAAAAGTAAAATTCATGTCAGATCCCGTGCGGTCAGCATAGAGGGTATGGTGGGAAAGTCCAACCTTGCTTTCACGAGGCAATACTGGCAACTCTCTTCTACAGAAAGTAGCTAAGGTTTGTCCAAAAAGTTGCTAGATTTGTCGTGAGGTGATTTATCGAAAAGAAGTCACTGGAGGGGCCTGAAAAGTCTGTAAATTTAACAACAAAGGCGCTAAGTTGCGAACATTGCTTGTTTGCGCCAAATCATTTTGAAAGAGCAACAACAAAGGGGGGACACTCCAACACTTGGCCAGCCGATCAAAGGTGTTACCTTATCATTCAGTCACATGCCATTCGGCTGACCAATGACGTAACTTCATCACTCAGTGAGTCAACGACATTCATGTTTATAGGCCAGTTTTTCATTGTCATATATAGAAGTAAATTGAACATCTTATGATTTTAGACTGGTTTTAACATTTCACATAGGTAGAGGAAGAGAAAAATAATTAATCAAGAAAATAATAATCTGATTAATTGATAATGAAAATAAACCTAGTTGCAGCCCTACATGAATCTGACTACTTTCTCATGCCTACAACCATCTGTTAACTCCTTAGCAGATCTTGCATTGTCTAGTAATGACCTAACGATGACTAGCCAGCAAAGCATGACATGTGGAGGAGATATGACAACTGTGTGTGGTGTGAGGGGAAGCAGTAGCAGAGGAAGGAGAGGGAAGAGAGTCAGGCATTTAATGTACTTTGTGCCTTTCTCTCAGGAAGATTTCTTGCAGGGTACACAAGAAAATGTGGCGCCAGACTCAAGGGAGGAAGATCACGACCCTCAAGAGGTCTTTAATCTTTACTGCTACTTCAGACACACTCAGTCATGCCCCTAACTGGAGCCTGCATCACCTCCCAGCCTTCCTCCATCTAGCTCTGACTCTGTGTTTCTATACAAGCAAGACACGTGACAGGAGGGGAAACATGCAAACAGCCTGCAGGCTTCCAGTGAGGCTCCAGCACATGACAGTGACCAACTCTTAGTCTTCCTTTAAACACAAGAGATGCAGAGAACAGAATGATACAAAATAATACAAAGGGTGACCAAAGGGTGACCAATGGATTTAACTGCAACTAAGCTTAGCGACACAGTGTACAGTGGAGGGTTCATCAAAATTCCTCAGGCAGCTTCACCACGCTGTCGAGGGGGTCCGCTCATGCACACACACACACACACACACACACACACACACACACACACACACACACACACACACAGTAAACTTTGTGTGTGAAGTGTGCTGCACTTCAGGGAGCCGACTGTTGTTTGACCAATGCCTCCTTGCTGGCATCTGTCCAACCCCATAAGCTTTGAGTCACACTGAAGGACCAGTGAGTCAGGGGTAGAGGCTGTCTTGGGAAACCCCGCCCACGAATGTGTAGTGGAAAAAAAAGAAGAAATTATGTATGTGTCTTCAAAAACTTGAATAAATGGAATAAGACACCTCTTTAATTAAGGATCAGAAGTCAAATCCTCTTTCCTGTAAGGCAGAGACTAAACAATAGCTGCTAGATAGTTTTCACTAACAGAATGTGGATGAGTTGATGTGTTTTTGTATGATTTACACAACTGTCTTTTTCTTTTTTTTTACCTTGTATCAATTCTTTGTTCATGTCATTCCATTTTATAGGTTTTCAGTTCTTATTTGATAATGTACAATATGTTAATATCAGGCAGTGAATGCCTTTCCATTTCTTGATAAAGGTTAGTGGAAGTAAGTTCAGCCCTTTATCATCCCAACCCTGACAAAGTCTGATATGTTGCAACATTATAATGTTGTCAACAAACCAAATCAACTGTCTATGAATGTTTTTAAATATAATAAATTGCACTGAACGTTCTTGCGTGTGCTTTTCTGTTAAACCACATCCCCTTCATAAGACACTAACTAAAACATAATAGATAATACTCATTTATAGTTCTGCCAGTAATTAAGTTCTAGTAAAATTTACTTCCAAATTTACTTATTTACTTCCATATTATGATTATGTTATTTGCAGGAAACACTACTGAAATTCTTAAGCTATATTAACCTTCAGAATATGTTCATGAGTTGAGGGCCATGGTTTAAGTTGTACAGATGTGCATGTGTAGGGGCCAAATCAGACATAAAATAGGCGAGATATGATGTTGATGATACATATGAAGATAAATCTGGTGTGAAGTAAAATACCCAACAGTAGTTCCAATTAGCTCCACCAGAGCAACGATAGAAGCAATAGAAATGCTAGTAATGCATTTAAAAATAATCAATATTGATATTCAATTAATATAATAAGTAGAAAATATATCCTCACAGGGTCCATTTTCCTGTATAAGGAACACTTACTTTTAAACTTTGATATACTTTTGCTGATTAAAAACAAACTGTACTTTTACTTAAGTGACATTTATACTTTGATGGATTAATTTAGTGTTAAGTAGTCAGAATGTGTTTAAGGCTATAAAGTACAATTAAAATTTAATCCGTGTTGTCTACAGTTAAACTAGTAAAAAGAGTACTTCCAGGCTTCAGGTCATACTTCCCAATCAAACGCGTGGTGTGTCGATAGAAAGACAATTATAAACGGTTTGGCAGCTTAGTACACAGTATAAACTTCACTCACCTCTGGTGACAGCAGCCAGGAGACACACAACCCGCAGACAGTTGAGAAACATGGTTCAAGTCTCCGGTTCTTCTGAGGGAGCCGGTGATGAAGTCTCGTGTAACGTTGTAACAGTGAATATAACGGTGCAGCACAGACGTGTTGTCCACCAGGCTACTACAGGTGGCTCAGACTGGAAGCTGCAGCCTCCGACAGCATTAAAAGCTTTAGTCCCTCCTCTGATTGGACCGGCGCTGCTGTCACTCATCATTACTGCACTGGGGCTGCTTGGCTCTGCCCCCGGCCTCCACCTAGGGACCAGTGCTTGATCATAAACCTGTCACCAACAGTACAGAGAAGAAGAAAGCCACTACAGTAAAGATCTATTTTAGATCCATTTTAAATCTTTAGAGTGTGCCTTGCGCAAAGACAGTTGGGCAGGGCAGCATGACATCAGTGCTGGTCATCATGACAAATAAATTCATGAGGATATTTTATGTTACAGCAAAACAAGGTTCTTTTAAAATACTTTGAAAAGACAAATGTAACTATTATATTGTAATAACTGTCAGAATATTAAAAACATGATGGAAAATTCACATTACTGTAGAAAAAACAAGGGTCTTGCGCTTGGTTGGTTACTACCATACAGTCTATGGTTACTACTCAGAAATTCTAAAACAGCACAACTTTTATCCAAAGTGCTATGATGCTAACAGTAGATTCAGAGACTCAAACAGTTCAAGCTTGTGCTGCAAACTGATATTTCACCAAGTTAATACATCATGGAGGGTAATCACTGTACCCTTACAGAAATTGAGGAACACAATTAGAAACATAAGTGTTTTGACCTTTCACTGGTCAACAGCAGTTGACTTTGTCCAAAGGCCAGTGTACGTCAGGGCAGAACTAAAAAAGAAAGAAAAGAAATCGGAACCTTAGGCACTGCAAACATCCGTCACAACAATGCTAATGCTAATGCTAATGTTTCTGGGGCTGTAACTACAGAAGCACAGAGATGTTTTGAACAAAATGCTAAAATTCTCACAGTACTGCTGATATTAAGTAGGTAATATTACTAAATTTTACAGCTTAGGTTAGCTTGTTAGCACATATTTGTTGAAAAGCACTTAAGACAAGACAAAGGTTGATGGGAATTATGTCAGCAGTTTTGCGGATATTTGGTTTCTAACCAAAGTATTGAGCAAATTCCAATTTTGGCCTAATGATGACCTGAAGTTTAGGGATCACCAGAGTTACAATAATTCATCCTGAGGGGGGCATGGATGTGCACCAAGCATTCATGACTATCCATCCACCAGCTGTTGAGACATTTTACTAAAAATCAAAAAAGCCAATCTTGTGGTGATGCTAAAAGAAAAGTCAGGAGATCACTAAAAACTGAAAAAAAATAAAACAAATACTGTGCCAAAATCCATCTAGTGAATGTTGCACTATTTCACAGGATAAGTGAAACCAATGACCTGCTGGTACTAGTACTGGAAAAGTCAGGGAATCACCATAGTCTATAGGCTCATCCTCTGGGCTCCATGGATATCTGTAGTGTCATCATTCTCCTTAATACATCCATGGAGACCATAGCAATCTAATTTATCATTAAAACCACAAATGTGACCATGAGGGTCACATTTGTGGTTTTTTGTGACGCTGGAGGAAAAGCTGAGATCACCACAGTCATTAGGATTCATCCTCTGGGGACCATGGATGTCTAAACAAAATTTCATAGCAATCAATCTAATGGTTGTTGAGCTATTACAGTTTGTACTAAAAAAGTTGACAGACTGACCGACATTGCCATAGAGCCACAGCAACAGTATGACTCAAAATAAATGTATCAAGAATGTCACAATGAACTAATCGAAACCTGTACTGAATGGCTGTCAAGTAGAAATATCAATATTCCTCTGTGGTGCGCAGTGCACAAAAGGAAATTCCACTCATATTTGACTCAGATTTTATCTTCTGTCTATAAATAGCATTAACAATAGATGTCACACAATGACCAACCCAAAATCCAAATTATACAGGGCTTAATCAAATACAGCCTAACTGAATGTTTCCATAAAAATATGAAACTTGATTTTCCAAAAATTCAAAATGTTACATATTTGATGGTTTTCAAAAAATGAAATACCAAGTGTAGAGTGTACTATAGCTGCAGATTCACTTTTACATTACAAGAAATTTTATCCTAAAAATCTTCAAATGCTGCAACTGCTTTAGGGAATTGTAATTTTTATCTTATATACTTTTAATGACTTAGCCTCTGGCAGCGTCATGAAGCACTGGACCATGACCAGGTCAACTTTACTTTGAAAAGAATTTTAGTTCTGTTTATCTAATGCATGTGATGGTGTGATGTGGTTTGCAGTAAGAACAGTCTGATTTTGAGACCAGTGTTTCTTCTTTAGGTGTATCAGAATGTTTAGTGGACAAAGTTTAGATGACACACAGATGTACAGCAAGCTCATTTTCATTCCCTTTTGAATTATGCCATCTACTTCCCTTGTCGGGGCTTTTTTTCAGGTCTTATTTTCCACAAAATGAGAACACAAGAGCACAGACTTATTCAGAATGAAAATATAATAAACCCGTCCCCCAAGGTCATTCCTATCTCTCCATGTTGTTATTGTGGGCTTCTAAATGGGCTCAACCATCTCAGACTAAATTGGCTTTGTCAAAGATGGCATCCTTATACATTATTCTGTTATATTTTCAGTGATTATGTAAGATCTGAGACTATTGTATGAAGGTAGTAAACAAAACATGCAATTGCTGCCAGACTTATTATATGCTTCAGTTAGTGCTTAAAAGTTCAGTTCACCCCAGTCACAAACTTTTTCCCCACTTAACCTTGATAGCATCTAGCCTCAGAAATTGTTCCAATTTTTTGTCCAAAGGTTTAAGCTCTTTTGAAAACTCAGTGGGACCTTATTCAAGTGAAGCTTTACTTATTGAAACATCATAAATAAAGTGAATACAAGTGGCCAATCAGTGCACTTGGAAGAAATTCAGCTAAGGCTACAACTAACATTGTTTTCATTATCAAGTTTATTGAGTCAGACGTTACACCTTCATTTTTAGAGAGGAAAGGCCAAAGATCTGTACATTATCTGCGCATGTATATACATTTTATTAACAATTATGGCCATGGCTAATATTGGTGGTTCTTGAAAGATCCATGAAAGAAATTTTCTTCATAGCTAACAGGCAAATATTGAGCTTTCCAGTGGTCACAGGAGCTTCCATCATTCAAGATCATTAAAGTACTTGTATATTTCCTGACCATGTTTCAGTTCAGATGAACAGATGCTGGAAAAGAATGGGGAAAATGTGGTACTAATATTTTTGGGATTACTGCAAATAATTAATATTGTTGAGCAGCTCATGTACTTTGATCATTGGGAGATATTTAAATATCTATAACTTTATGGATAGTAAATTCAGACCGACATACTTCAACAAATCCTGTTGTGCAGCAGCTTCAGGTGATGAAACAGATTAAATATATTTTCTTTAAAAGTGAGTACTTTACCCTCTACTCTATGTCAGATACAACTTACATTAGAAGAAAAAGCAGTGAACTTGTGCTTGCATCCCACAGCGTACAGGCATAGAAAGCTAATCAGTAAAGATCATTCCTCTCCATACTAGAGCTATGTCATATGCACGCCAAACCTGTGTCAACTTTAAATGATAGAAATAGCTGTGGTCAGAGATCCTGGTCTTATCACATCAGACCTAATACCTGTTTCTCACATCTCAGATCCTCATAGAAGCAGCTCCTGCTTCAACTTCAGAACAATAAATGGTGATTGAAGTTATGATACATTAATGCACAGTACATCTTGGCTCATACCCCATGTTGGCGCCTTTCTCAGTTTTGTGTGTGTATGTTTTAACTGTATTGTTCTTTCTTGTTTCTGTACCACTAAACTAAATATATGAATGTATGAATGTTTTGTTACTGTTTTATCACACGGCCAACTTCTTGTTTAATTATGGATGACGGAGTGGGCAGTGCACATCAATAAACAGAAAAGATTTTCATCAAATGAAGCTCAAACCTCTATGGCATTTTGAATTTTGACGTCAACACGTCACAACACCCAGCGGACACCTCTAAACTAGGTCTGTCTGATCATAATATCAAAAAAAAATTTCAGACTGACTAAGCATTTCCCTGTTGTTATCAAGGAAGTCTTTGTTTATTTTCATATGGAGCTGTCATGTAATGATTAATGGTCTCATTTCAAAAATGGTGGATTAGTCACTGTGTCATGTTGACAGATGACATACAGTTCACACAAGTAAAAAATGGCAATAATTATTGGGAATGAGAACTCGAATTAATAACTTCCTTATTCCTTTACAACAAAAACCACAATGTGTCATCATCATAACAAATTGCTGTCATATTTTCTATTGATAACTTAGCAGCTCTATTTGAACCTGAAAAATCTCACATGTATATTTTTGACTTTTTAGCAGCGTGTTTCAAGATTACTGACCATATACATGTTTTACATGTGTAGGGTGCAGCAAAAAACTGCTATTAACCGCGGTGATTACATGGCATTAAGCATGTTCAAACGTAATAATGCTCTCTACCAATTATACGAAGTGTTTTTCTTGTGCAGCCTGTATGTATGAAAGGTTGTGTCATTGTTTAACTAGGGAGTGGACCTCATCTGAGCTAATGCTGTATTTTTCACGGCAACCTTTAAACTATTCAGTATATTCAAATGAAACATTTTCAAGGCAAATACAATCTTTCTGCATTCCCCGTGTTGCCACAGCCCAGTTTTTATGGTTCTACTCTGGGACGGTCCTCCATTAGAGCCATAACACATATCTAGCAGTGTATTAACGCATTCACTTTGCTGACCTCACTTTTATCTCATGCAAATACTCGGGGACATTGCAACATTTTTCAGTACCATGTGTTGATTTTTAGCCTGGCAACCACCAAGATTAATTCCACTGGCCTTTCTGTGTTGACACAAGTGTGTCTTATTTCAGGAACAAAAGGTTTCCCGTTCTAAATATTATACAAGCACATTGTTTTAGGTAACCTTTTATTTTCTGTTCTGATGACCTATTCTCAGCTGTTCCTAAAATGATACTTTTTGGACCAAAGACCAAGAAAAACTTTTTACATGGGTTAGAGAGGGACATATATTCTAAGTAGACCACACATAGCCATCTAAGTTCGAACTGTTTCTGTGTGTGTGAACCATGCTTTTATCGCAATTTAATACATGAAATAGAAAAGAAGCCATGCTAGCAGCTCTGTGAGGCTGTACTCAGGCCAGTGGTAGGGAAGGAAGTACTCAGATCCTTTACTTCAGTAAAAATACTGTATTGAAAAAAATTTGTTTAAGTAAAGACACAAAAGTATTAGCATCAGCATATACTTTAAGTATCAGAAGTAAAAGTACTCATTATGCAGAATGGCCCATAATATGTATTATATATAGAATAATATATATTATATTAATGGGTTATAATTACTGATGCATTAATATGTAAGCATTACTTTAATGCTGTAACTGGTAAGGGATCATTTTACTACTTTGTATACTGTTGGGCAGTTTAATATATATAATAAAACATCATAATTTATTTCTTTATTATATTTTATATTAATAATCTGAATTTGCAAAGTAACTGCGGCTTTCAAAATAAATGTAGTGGAGTAAAAAGTACAATATTTCCCTCTCAAATGAAGTGGAGCAGAGTACAAGGAGCTCAAAATTGTACCTCAGTATTGGAGTAAATGCACTTAGTAACAATCCTGAAATAGTAACACGCTGATGTTTAGCAGGTGTAATGTTTGGGAATGTCATACATTTTGCATGTATTTGGTCATAAACCAGAAATATTGGACACAATACTGGCACTAGATGAAAAGTGAAGAGTTTACCAAAGTTGTACACCAAAGCCTTTAGGATACATTGTCTGGGAACTGACTGGCTGCACAAAATTTTATCCATCAAATTGTTATTGAGATACATCCCTAAAGCCATGCCACTATGGCTAAAAACTCGTATTTACATTGTATTGTTTATTTAATTCCTCTTTAGTTATGACCCATATTAGGGCATCATTCAAAGTCTCTTCCCTCTTTTATTGCGATTGTTCCTCATTCACTATCTCTCTGTGCACACAGTCCAATGTTGCCTCTTCCTAGCTTTGAAGATAAGAACATGGTACATATCACTCTCACATGTACTCTGTCAACACAGCTGCTACTCTGGAAGCAGAAAAAAGCAAGAGTGCAGACACTGAGGGACAGTAAGCTCACTAACCAACTAACCAACCAACCAACCAACCAACCAACCAACTAACTAACTAACCAACTAACCAACTGTTTGGCAGGCCTCCCACACCTCTCTGACATTCAGCTCAGGCAATATGGAGTACTATCATACTGCCTGCATCAGAGTAACATAACTCCTTGGTTACTTAATAAATTGACGTCACATTCCTCCTAGTCACTCCCCTACAACTCTTCAACTTTTATGGCCTGATTTTTCATTTTCCAGTCAATATTGAGTACAAAGCACTTATCAGGACTGACTAATGTTGAAAAATTTTTAATCATCATCACCATTAAATAGAAAATGCAGTTATCTATTAACAGAAAGAGGAGGGATTGGTGCCGAGTCACACAGGTGTTGGGTGTGGAGAAATGGACATAAAGTTCATAAAACTTTGCAATTCACGTTCGCCACCAAACACTCACGAAATGCAACATCTTCTTCTTTTTTTTAATCTGTGGTGATGGGAAGACAGACAGCTTCTCTTTTTGATTTCAGGAAGCAGTTAAATTGCCCTCACATATATGGAAAAGGAAATGAGAGGACATTAGATCACGAATGCATGAGCCAAAGTTATGGGCTAGATTCAAATGCATGTGCAGTGGTGGCAATGGTTATGAAAGCTGCTTTGGTTATGTGGTGGGGGCTGCGCTTTGTGAATATCTAAGTGACGCCTAGTAATATTTATTGGCCGGCTTGTCTAAATGTGTTATGTGTTGAATGTGTTATATCTTATAACATGTTCTTTGAATGTTTGCTCCCTCAAAAGCATATGAATGTAAGCATGTATTCATTTAATGCTGTACTTTTAATGTAACATTGATGTCATATTGTCATGATGTCATATATGATGGTATCACTCCCTTTATTGAGGAAGGTAGCTGACCTTCCTGTATATCACAGATGGTTTTATTGAGACATCATTGCTCATACAGTTTATGTATGAACATATGCTCAAACTGTAACCCTTAACTGAAGAAGACCATTTGTGATTGAGACAGTGTCATGTCCTTGTGGAATGAAAGAAATGGGAACAAGATAGCGGTATCTGGGTATTTTTTTTTTTAAATGTTGAAGTGGCCCCAAACATTGACAATTTTATATCTCTTATGAGAGAAGTTGAAAATAAACTTATGTCGACTTAAATACTGATGCACAAAAGACGGCTATTAATGGATGAAAATGGAGAAAACAGGTTGGAATAATGATATAAAGTATTTGCAACGCTCTCCCAATACTCTCTGCCCAGGCCTGGGTTGAGAATAGTAAATCACTGGATGAAACTCATACTGGTTTGTTCACGCAATTCTACTTCATTTTCAGGAAATGATTGAAAAAAAGGAAAAGAAAGCACTGGTTGTTCTTTTACTTTAAAGGGATCTGGACAGGGAAAGGCTATTTTGAATATTAAGCTCTTGTCAGTTATTGTTTGTATCAGCACCAGCTCTCAGATCAGTGTTTTATGAGGTGAGATGTGATTTTAAAAGGAGTGAATGTGATACATCAAGTCCATTAAACCCTTGTTCCAGGATGAGCTACTGAATGAGCCGCGTGGGAAGCACAGAGACCTGTAAAACAGGCTTCAATTGGAACCTAAATTAGAAATTCAAGCTGAGATAAAGTCCAAGTTTTCCTGAAACATATGATCAATAAAATGTAGACAAAGCCGAACAACAGTTAAAAGGGAGGTGACTCAAGCAACAACATAGAACCTAAAGCATATTTTAACTGCATTAGGCTCTAATAATAATAATAAATAAGTGAGAAACCACAGCCAACAGGCAGACAGCATCCCACTTTAAGACATCACCACCACCCAGTGGTGAAATCAAATACAGCTACATGAACTTCAGTAAGCCTCTTATGTGCTATAATACACTAATGCAGGGCAGACCAGCAGACACTTAGTCATTAACAATATCCCCAGCAACACCTCTGATAAGAACTGATTTCATTCCAGTGTAAACATAAAAATGCATTTGACTAAAGCATTAACATGTTTAACACCACTTACTACATGAAGAGTTCTCGATACGTTTTTTTTTTTTTTATTGTTTTCTCCCTAATCAGTTTTAAATTCACTGGACAAGTACAGTCTTGTGAATGTGTCACAAGAACGTGAAACAACAAAAAAAATGGAAGATATCATCAGCTACAAAATTTGGCGGTGATAAAAAAGGGAAAGAAAGATAGTAAAATAAAATTTATACAGGGGTCAGAATTAAGTAAAGTAAGATGTAGTGTTTTGTACATTTTTTGTAAACAAAAAGCATATTGAAACAATATGGCAAATAAGATGTGGAGGAGGGAAGAGATCCAGCTGAAGAGACTGAACACTGGTTGGCATGAGACATTTACAGAAACCCTTAAGCAACGTCGTGTTAATGGGTCACATAAATGTCATGTTCACAAAAGTAGTCACACAGACACATGACTTTTTTTTATACATACAACAGCATCTCTGCTACATACATCAAATCTTCACTCCTTTGTCCCTGGTTTATTGTGATATGAGGTATATGTGAGGCGAATTCTTGTTTATGCCTCAACCGTTCAACATGGCAACACATCATTTAAGATATTACAGCATTGCATTCACTCTGCCATGTTTAATGATTGCTTAAAACAACAGGCCATCAGGGCGTAAAGGGGTTTAAAGACTCATTCAGCAGAGTGATTTCATTTCCAGCACTCAAGGCCAGTTGTAGCTATGGAAGACAGCGCAATTATTGTCGTCTTTACGAAAAAAAAACCAAAAAAAAAACAAAAAAAACGTACAGCATAAATACATTTAAAAATCAGCAAGAAATTACATCTAACATTTACTACGCAATATCTTGCACCTGTACTTCTCAGAAATAGGCACCCAATTTCCAACGGGACAAATATGCTTGGTACTGCCAGCACACGTGAAAAGTCTAAATGCATACAAATTGTTGGTCAGCCATCTTTTTTTGCTCATACAGCACATGGCTGCCACGGTAACAGCTGAAGAAATAGTCGATCACGAACACATTTTGTCATCAAATTCAATAAGAAAGCAAAGCTGCTAAGTTGGATAACAAATCAAACTAAAACTAGGGGTTTGAATTACATTTACATTATCCCGATTAAATGTTACTGTATTTTAACATCCCCACCCACCCTCCCTCCCTCTCCCCCAAGCTAACCCCTCCCTAAGGAGAAAGAGAAAATGTTAATAAAAAAATCCCACTTTCACATGTCAACCCTCCCCACCCATTAGCCCATATAAACCATGCTACCCAAACAAAGGGTATTCCCAGCATCCATCCAGAATATGTTCCAACCTCATCTGCATTTACCCAAACAACAATGTCTCAGTCAAAAAGCCAGTCCATTCCTGATATTAGAGCTTCCTTGATCCGATGGGGTACTTTACATGATGTACGAAAACGGCTCAAAGTGCTAATTGGATTTTTTTTTTTAAAGAAATAAGAGAACTGAGGAAGAAGAGGAGGGCAGGAAAAAGGGAAGGCCATTCTATCGCTGTCCAACAGCAACCTCTATTGGCCAAAGAAAAGCCCTAACATCACTTTTGTTCTCCAAAAATATACCAAGGACAACATTTACCCCCTGAACCAGCCCTCGTTCTCCCTGTACTTCAACTGGCAGTTCCCCAGAATGATTAAATCTGTTATTTTACATTAATATATATTCTTATAAATATATATAGATATATATATGGCCCTTATTGAAGAAAACATGAGTTTCACATTGACACGAAAGTACCATAATCTCTATATAGCCAAGTAGAAAGTGTTTCAGTGTTCAAGTGAGCTGGCAGCAGTCTGTTTTTGTCACACTCATTCAACAAGTAACAAAACATAAGAAAAATCCTCTTTGAAGTCGCAAACTTCTGAAAACCGTGCTCACTGCACCTCGTAGGCTTCTCCTTTTCCACTTTTTCCTGAGTAATACTTTTAACCTTGTAACAGACAATAACTTCTATGTTTGTTTGTTTTGTTTTTTTTTTTTTTTGTTTTTTTTTTTGCTATTTCAATTCTGGGCTATTCCCTGCCATTACTTCCATTTTCATTTTACAGTTGTAAAGTTGATTGCTCAAACACTTCAGCTCATTGGAAAAGAAAGACGTCCGGCGCTACACTACACTTACTTAAAAAGTACTTTCAGTTCATGATTAATGACTACACCTAATGTCACTAATATGACGAGAATAAACAGTCAATACATATTTAACTTAAAAATAACAGATACTTAAAAAAATTGCATTTGCAAGGAGCCTTGCAGGCTTATTGTGGGGAGAGGAGTGGGCACAAAAACAGAGCATCAGTATAATTAAAATAAAGATGTCACTTAAAAAAAACAATAATAATAATAATATTAATAATAATAATAATAATAATAAAATAGGAGCACTAAAAAATTAAAACAAGAACATCAACTCTAACGACAGTGTGTTCTCTCCCTCTCAGGCTCTCATCTGTAGCTTTGGCTTGTTGGAGTTTTGGAACCTGTACTTACTGGCTCATTGACATCAGATAACAAACTACTATACCCTGAGAATTCAGACACAGGCGTCCGTATCCTGTGATCCACTTCCCCGCTAGAGTCAGTGCCATAAGACAAGCCGCGGCCGTCTGACTTGAACTGGGAGCCAAAGGCCTGGGCAAAGTTTTCTATCTGGTATGAAGGCTTGGAAGAGTCCAGAGGGGCCAGATCCTGCGAGGGAGCCAGAGGGTAGACCGCCGTGCCGTTCTTGACCTGCGGTTGGTCCTTCTGGCTGCTCATTTCAGATTGGCTGATCTGGTAGGAGGAGGGGGGAGTGGAGGAGTGCTGCTTCTCCATCTGGTCAGTGAGCTCCTGAGACGGGGTGAGCTGCTGGTGTGAGGAGGGCTCCAGGCTGCTCAGGTGGAAGCTGTGCTGTGGTGAGGAGCCCGTCAGCATCGCAAAGTGAGACTTTGGCACAGAGGAGGGCAGCGAAGGCGAGGCCACTGACTGGCCAAACCCACACTCCAGTGGGGACGTAGTGTAGATGTTCTTGTCAGCGTAGATGGGGTTTTCTGGGTGGGAACTGGTGAACGGTCCTGAGGCAGAAGGCCCAGGGCCCAGAGGGAAGCTGGTGCTGTGGCTGGTGCGCTCCAAAGCCTGTAGCAGGAAGCGGGAATATTCATGCATCATGACGGTCTTGTCTCCAGATGGGCTGGGGTTCTCGGTGCTGTGGCCAAGGTCAGGCCCGTCTGCTGAGGCAGGGTTCAGCTCCACATGCTGGTCACTGATGTCAAAGTGAACATCGTGGTGCGAGCCGTCTGGTTTCTGTGTGTAGTGGTCAAGGAGGCTCTGCAGCACCTCATCGGGGATCCCTGACTTGTCGAGACTGAGAGGTGTGTCATTGTCCATCACACTGGAAACGACACCCTGGATGACAGTCGGCTGGGAAGACAAATGACTAACACCAACGTCGTACTCACTGCTGGCTCCTCCAGCCACCGCAGGCCCTGATGGGTTTGCATTGTTTGCTGCATGAAGGTAGCGTCTCTTCTTCAGAAACTGCATGGCGTCGTCATAGTTGCTGCTGGTGCCAACTTTGGCCCCATTACTCTGCATGAGGCCAAGTCCATCCATGCCCACACTCTGCTCCAACGGGCCTGCTTTGGCCAGACTCTTGCGATTGGCCTTCTTGAATGCCATCTTTGGAGCTCGGCCCTGGTGGCTCTGCTGCATGCTGGGTCCTGGCTCGGTAGAGGAAGATACTGTTTGATTTTCCATAGAGTATTCATGGATGCTGTAGCCTCCAGATACAGAGTCATGAATGTGTGGTACCCTCGCCGCTCCTCCATCCCCCTTCTTCTTTTTGCGCTCCCCTCCCTCTCCACAATTTTTGGACTTCCCCCTCTTTCTGCCATTGTTCCCAGCATTTCCCTGAGTGATTCCATAGCTGCCATGTCCCATGTCAACACAACCCAGGTCCATCATCCCAGGATCCAGCCCCTTCTTTATGGCTTCTCCACAGGTTCGCTTGTGCTTCAGCAGTCGGTCTGTCCTAGAAAAATACTGAAGGGAACAAACACCAAATGTTGTCTTTAATGCAAATAAAAATAATGAGTAATTTTAAAATGATGGATATACCATATACAACAAAACTTGACTAGCCATGGTCAGTATCACTAAAGTCTGTCATTTTATTTCAATTTTATTTGAAGATTAAGATACTGTTCTTTTATTTTGTTAACATTTTGTCAACCATGTCCACCTTTATTTTGATGACAGATTTAATCCTCCTGGGCATAGATGATACCAGTCTTTGACAAATCTGTTCTGCTGTTCTTCACACTTCACCTTCCACTTTAAAATACTCCAAACGTGTTCTATTGGATTCAAGTCAGGGGACATGTTTGTTTGTTTGTTTAGGATAATTGTCATGTTGGAAAATTCCTCTCCTGCCAAGCTTTTGAGACTGGGACTCCTTATTCCATGTTTGGGTAGATAGATACTCATGCAGCCTCATATCAGCACAGTCCCACCTCCATGCTTAACTGTGAAGTCACGGTGGTAGTCTCCTGGCCATCTGATCCAAACACATTTATTTTGTTTTCATCTGACCAAAGAATGTGCTGCCAACATTCATCAGGCTTCTTTTCATGTTCTTTGGCAAAGTGTAATCTTGCAGTTTTGTGCTAATTTGTGTTTGTTTTTTGCACCTTCTGTTATTGGTAGTATGGCTCTTCCTGTCCCTCCTAACCACTTTCGGCTCATGTTCAGTTGGCCACTCGTACTCCTGTACACTATCACTTCTTCTCAGTCTCTCAGCCTGGTTTCTTACATGTTCTGGCAGTTCCTTACATTGTGGAGCCATGTTGCATTAGACACCACCCAGGCCAACACTGAGAAAGCTGTGGTGTTCAGTAGTTATTTTATAACCTTGTTCATACTATTAGCCATACGTGAAATCAAATTTGTTGCAGTGATCACAGGTAAACTGAGTTTAAATCCCCTACATCTCAACTTGAAAATAATGCAATTATTGTAAGATCACACAGTTTTGAATCATTTAACATTTTAATGATATTACAGTGGGATATACTCAGTTTTTTTGTATATTGTGAAGTATCCCTTTAGATACCCAACAAATAGGAGGAGGTACAGGGTTCACTTACCTGTTGGCAGGTCTCACATCTGTACGGCTTCTCTCCGCTGTGCGTCCTCTTGTGCCTCTCCATGTGATACTTCTGAATGAATCGCATGTTACACTGGTCACAGCTGAATGGCTTCTCTCCTGTCATTACAAAAAACAGCCCAGCTTGAAGTTAGTTATCTTCCATTTTACTGACAAACACGCGATGACTCACAGATTGCATCAGGCCGTTTGTTGTTCTGAACCCTGGTCATTAATCACTTACCACTGTGGATTTTCTCGTGTCGCTGGAGAAGGTACTTCTGAATGAAACTCATGTTGCATTGGCTGCATCTGAAGGGTCTTTCACCTGGAATATATTTATAGTTAGAATGCTGTCTTGCTCTGATGGTCATTACCCTTCTGTGAGAAGGTTGTCTTGGACCAACACTAAATCTGCAAAATAATACGAGCACCTGCACAATATAATGCAATCCAATGGAATAATCACTACTTTATTCATCTCTGTGGTAATTCTTTGGGCCATAGTTAACCAACAATACACACGCACTTCAGCCCAAAAACAGTGCGTTGCAAGTCTATTGCAATGGATTGCATCATATTTCACAGGTGTTCGTGCCACTGTCCTCATCTCTTGGTGAAACACCATCTTTTGTTCTCTCACTGTTGCCTATGGAAACACAATCCAGACTTGTGAAAGAAAATGTTAAATGATTAAATTGATCAATCCAACTTCACAGTCTGAATTTAGACAACTTTTCTAACAATGTAACTGAATTTAATGAAAAGTTAAGTGCTCCTTTACAGCATTTAAGTAAATATTTGCCAAGAGGTTGTAATGAGAGCACAAACAATAATGGACCAGAGTACATGCATAATCTACCTGGAAGTCTAAATATCTAAATGAATAAAGAGACAGATTTTGACCTTGAGCTGATAATACACCTTTAAAATGAAATTTTAACATCAGTGAACATGTAGTTTTGTGAAGACATGAACTATCATGCTATTGGCTAACTATTTTGACACATTACACAAATGGAAAATGAGATAAAAGACAAGGAGGGAATTAAGCTTACAGCTAGGGACAAAAAAACAGAACAAAAAAAACAAAAAAAAAACAAAAACAAAACATAACACTCGATAGGGCATTATAATACAAGCAAATAGTCATCAATCAGGCCAAGGCATCAACTTATCTATTGATATTTTTTATTTTCATAAACACTCAACATTGCTACTGATGTTTGTGCTTCAATTGACCTTACGATCATGAGAAATATATACTTCACTCCGCTGCCCAGTTACAGAGCAGTCCAGCAGCCATCTCTCAATCCTCCTATAACAGCCTACACCAGTCTCATTTCTCGTTTTAGCTGTAAGACACGCAATGTAATGCCTTCATTCCTCATCTGTACCATGAAAACATCACCCTGGCTTCCACACAGTCAAAGCTAAAAAAAGTGTGCGTCCTGATCAGGGTTCAGTTATAAAATCATAGTGTCTCTCCAGCCAAAGAGTCAGTTGCACAGGATGTTTTACTAGCGTCTGGTTCAAAAGAAGTTCAGCTGATTTTGCAACCATTCAGCACTGGAGCTGAGAGCATTGACGCAGCAAACAAAACAAGTCATGCTTGTTCCACGTTGTGCTGCCGTCAGTTTCAATCACAGTATGTTAATTTTGAGAGAATAATGTAATGTAATATTTACAGCCTGTCGTGGACAAGCCACTGAGTTATTGCTTTTTTAATGTTGTTTTACCAAGTACACAGAAAGCTATCTTAGCATAATGTTAAAAAAAAAAAACTGTACAACATTAGTTTGAGTTTCTTCAGCTGACATACTGATGACGTCAACGTTTTCTTCCTTTCACTGATTGTGCAATAACCCTTAACCCTAACCACAACATGACCAAGTGCGAGACAAAGAAAATATGATGGAGGAAATAAGCGCAGAACAACACCTGTGTGAATGAGGACATGTCTGCGTAGGTGATAGGAGCTTCTGAATGATGCAGTGCAGTGTTCACAGATGTGAGGCTTGGTTCCTGGCGACAGGCTGCCTCCATCTGCATCCAGCATCATTGATTGCTGTACAGGAGAAAGACAAGGGTCAGATTCAGTCAACTCTTTATCTACATGAACAATAAAACCCTCTGGAATCTAAGTTTAATATTTGTTTTATTTTTCCAGACTTTTTGTGTTTTGACACCACATGCTTGGTATCCCTTTTTCAGACCAAGCTCAGCTGTATGTCCGACTTTTCATTTTGTCAGGTTAGGTCAGGTAGTACGAAATACAAGAAAAATGAAATGGCATCAATAAAAACAATTTTATCTCTATATTATTCTAAATATTATTATAGAACAGCTTGAAGTTGTAAACAACATTGTTTCACTATTTATACACAAAACATAAGAAATAAAAATCTAATATAGTCTAATCACATGTAAAGTGATTGTATGACAACTCATTTTTGTGGCGTTGTCATTTAAAATCCATGTGCGCCAGTAAATCATTGGAAATATTATTTATTAGGAGGAAATTGTTCTAGTTTTAAATGAAATTTTGTGTAAAAACCCCACATCAACACTTTCAACTGGTTTTCTCTGCTTGTCTCTACTTGATATGTTACATGCTCAGTCTATTCAGCGATGAATAGAGGGTTCAAGTCCATATCCTATATATATATATATATATACATATATAAAAATTCCTGTTGTCTTTAACTTCCTGCTAAAAAAGTAAAAGCATATATTTTTACCAGTAGAAAAATTATTTTACATTATTTTATATCCAATGAGTTAGACATTTCTCTATACAGTAAATAGGTCTCATTATTTTCAGCTGTTATTGACATAAAAAACAAGACTGTATTACAGTTCATTTTGAACCACTGTGTAACTGCTGATTTATAACTGAGTGTGGTGAGGATGAATACTAAAATCTAATCACATTCACAGATACATAAATGTATGACAAACCTTCGCCTCGCTTCTCCTCTTTCTTGGTTTACCCTCCTGTCCATCACCATTTGACCTTCGACCTTTTCTCCCAGTGGGCTCCTTTCCTAACTGACTCGGCAGCTGTGAGGATGACAAAGGGAGAGGGAGAGGGCCGTGAGAGCCGGCCACGACAAGGAAATCACTTGAGTGAAGGTTAAGGACCTTCATTCTAAAACTATCATGCAAACAAGTCCATGTTTGTTGCTCATGCAAACAAACAAACAAAAAAAAGCACTTGGACATCGTCCAGTGATTGTCTGTTGGAGACTCATTGTGCAAGACGTGGTTCCAGTGGGCGGAATAACAATGTCTGAAATTTATGGCTCCTTTATGGATAAGCAGGTTGTAATTCACTGTTAGAGCTTTTCATTTCAAAACAAAGGAATGCACACGCTCACCTCACAAACCAAACTCAACATTCAGAAATATAACTCTTCACTAAGCTTCAGCAGAAACAATCTGTGCAGGGTATTAATTCGGAAAGGAAGAAAATATGCTCTTGATCCCCCTTTTATTCTTTTTGTTTACCTTCCTGCGCTGCCATTTCTTTCTCAGTTAACCCACTACTCCTCACTGCCATATGGAGACTGACAAGGCTAATGCTGGTGCACCTGCTGTTTGAAAAATCAGCCCATTTTTAAGGGTAAAAACATCTTGGCAAAATAAAATACGTCCAATTTTGGCTTGAGTGGTTTGACCTGGGTTAGAAAAGGTGCAACAATTTTGGATCACAAAATAAATAATACTGACTATAGGGCTTATCTCGTCAACATGCCTCTCCTAAGTACATCTGCAACGATCAAGTTTGATCACCAGCTATTTGATCTGCTAATATTTTGATAATCATTTCACTGTTCAAGTGACTTTTAAGTAACACTTCCTGGTTCCAGCTTCATAAACATAACAAACGACAAAACAAGACATTTAAAGATGTCACTAGTCAGTTATGAAATTAATCGTTTGTTGTAGCCCTACATCTAAGAATAAAACAGAATAATGTGAGCTTGACTGAAAAGTTTTACATTTTAAACATGAAATTGTCATGAGAAAACAGTTTTAAAAAGGAAAATGCAGCATACTGGAGACAATAGTTAATTCTGTTTTTCAACATACTTGCATCTACAGCCCTGATGACCTGGGATGACTGGCTATTGTTAGGAGAGTGTGGATGTGTATTTCTATTTGAATGAGCACAAAAGACGTCTGAAATGAATTGCAAGCTCAAACAAGACAGCTGTGTCCTTGCCAAGACGTTTTCATTCACGCTGAGGCTGGATGACATCACCCTTCTACCCAGAAAGAGAAACAGAAGGAGGGAGGAGGAGGGGGCTCATCTATATTTTTCATTTGAAGCTGTCAGTAGATTTATGTCAACATAACCAGTTTCTCATAAGCTTTTCCCTCTCAGGCTTTAAAGTATGAGCTGCCTGAAAACACAGCAGGGTTGTTTTGGGGGCAAATTAAACTAAAATTATTACAGGTTATATCTTTAGATTTTTAAAAACATATATATATTATATATTTAATAAACAACATTTTGAGTAACTTTATAATCACTGTAACATGCGTAACAAATGTTTAATTGTAAGTTATGAGCATCTAGGATTTATATATAAAAGTTAATGTAGTTGCAAGAATTGAACTAGGTGCTCGCACAGAAAAAAAAAAACTGATTTGCAATATTTTTTGCATTTCCAGTCGGTTTTGGACTGCTATTCACATAAAACAGGCAATATGAAGATGTGTCCTAGGACTTTAGGAAATGATGTGATGGGGATTTTTCTCCATTTCCTCCATTTTGTAAACCAAGCAGTTGATTAATCTGAAAATAATTGGCAACTTAATGAGTAAATAATCACTTAGCTGAAGCCCTAGTTCAAAAGTCTTTTTTGTCCGATTAAAAGTGCAAAACCCCAAAATATGATTTTAATATAACTTAAATTATTAAATCGATTGTCAAAAATTAATTTCCCTTAGATTGACTAATTGATTAATCATCTAATTGTTTCAGCTCTAAAATAGATTAATTATGGGAAATGTAGCTATGAGGAATCATACACACTTGATGGCACAGCCATTTATTCAGAAATAAACCAAGCTGACTCCCCTTCATGTTCTGATTTCCTGTCAGGTACTTACGTTGCCCATGTTGAGGTCATGCACCAGCAGGCTCTGGTTGTTACTGACTGTCACCTCCAGCAGCTCCGTGCTCTTCCCCAGCCCTCCAGGGTAGAGCGGCAGGCGATAATCGTGCTCTGACAGCTTCTCTTGCTTGATACCCATGGTGTGAACATAATCTCCCACCCCTGCACAGCCCAGGCTGCCACCCTGGGTGCCCATGCTGCAGTCAGGCGAGTCACGCTCCTTCTTCAGGATCATTTCTTGTGGTGGAAGGTCCTGCATTACAGAGTGGGCGGCCAGCCGGGTGAAACTAGTCACCGGCGGGAGGTGGCTGAACATAATCATGCCAGGGCCGAAATTGGAGTCCATACCCCCGTTGGAGCGCAGGAATTCATTTCCTAGTTTGTCTTGAATGATGTTCATGGTGAAAGCCGGCGGGCAGGAAAACTATGGGGTGGCAATCAGTGTCATCCTGTGAGGAGAATGGGTAACAGGTAAGGTAACAGGAGACAAGTATGAAGCAATCAATCTGTGAGGATACACACAAATAATAATCAGAACACAATTATGGAGCCAGTTAAGCTTGGTCTTCAGGAATCAGTGTCACAGCCTCTGATCTCACAACTGGGCGCTTAGTCGGATTAAAACTGACGGTTTGTGGGTCAACAAAGGGCCACAGTCTGGCACAATGACGATACTAAACAAGTATAAGTAAGTATACTGTACAAAATTCTCTCTTGTAGCTTTCAGTGTGTACATACAGTGGTTTACAGTGCAAAAAGGTCACTGTTACCACCACAGCGCTAGACACAACATGAGACGAGGAATGAGAGGATTGAAGTCATGGTAATCTGTTTGATGGGCCTGTCTGACCCAGTCATCCTATTTGCATGAGCTTATCTGCCAATGAGAGAGCACACAGACTGCACTATAAAGACTGGTGGTGTAATTATGTGACTGCTGAATGAACACAAAGTGCATGTTCTCTAATAGCTCTGAATATGATGTTAAATGCAGATTATTTAGGTGTTGATACAACATGTTATTATTCAAATTACATGTGAGTGTATTAGCTATGACCAAATACAGTTTTGAGAGTAATTTTCCCGCATTGTGTTTTATAGAGGTTACATTAAAATCTATCCACGCGTATTTCCAGCCACTGCATGAACGACCTATCCAGCTAATGAGTGCTGTCTGCCAAATGCCTTCAGCTCTGATGGTGTGCTAGCAGCATTAACCCACTCAGCTAACACAAAGCAAACTTTTAAAAACATAAAACAAGACCTCAGCTACACAAGCTTTCTCAATTGTGTTTCTACAGGCAAACAATACACTGGGGTAAACCCTGTGGTCTGCGTACATTTATGAAAACTACCAAGCTTGTACGCTGTGCAATTAGCTACCTAGCTAACCATCTGGCTAACCACTCTTGCGGGGCCCTTCTTCTTTGTGATGCAGGATCAGGCAATAATTAATATGGCCATGCAATAACAGCCGCAGATCCGCGCTGATGAACACCACAACCGAACAAACGTGAACAGAAAACCAGCCGGAACCTGAGGAAAATCTGTGCTTTTAAACCATTCACACAAAGTTGGTTCGGTATTCGTTAGGCTGAGATTAAAGATTAGTGATTTGGTAGAAGATATCACCACACAGAAGACAAGACAAACAAAATCTGCGAGCTGGAAAAATGGAAAGGACGAGCGCCGGTTTGCGCTTGACAACAAAAGAGACACCACTGTCTTACTTCGTCTGTGCATATTTACAACTGCTTTCTCCAAGTTTCTGGCTTCGTTTCCTGGACAGTTACCGACTGTAAGTGATGGAGCGACCACACAGGCATGACCCATAACAAACGGCCCGCACAACTCCAGCGAACAATGATGCTCGTCCGGCTAGCCGAGACAGGCTAACTTAGCGGCTAACTAGCTGCGCTTTGTTGTCTGTCCCGTCCGAGGAGTTAAACCGCAACAGCGGCCGACTCTGCCACCAAACTTTAACTTTATGGATATCTCTTACCGGTGCAGGAGCATGACCTGCTGTTTTGGCTCGTTTAGTTGGCCCTCAGCTGTCCCTTTCAACATCTAGAGCCAAAACATTGTTTTCCCGCAGCTGCTGGGCTCTTCCATCTTGCCTCGGCGCAGAGGATTCTGGGTCCCACAGGCGGACCCGTCCTGAACAGAGGCACTATAATAAATAAATAACGATTACAACTATAATAATAGCCCAATAATAACACTAATAAAAACCTCACAATATCTTTCCTGTTACATGTAAAGAATATCAAATGGCTACAAATGCTATCCCTAACGGAATTATGCAGTGGATAAAATGCAACTTTGAACAGCCAGAGCTGCAAACAAAAGCCATAAATACTAATAAATAAAAGGAAATACTTTTACACCTGGACGAATAATGAGAAAATGGACCGCTGGGCACAGGCAGGTAAAAGGACCCCCAACCTGAGAGAAACACGTGGCTTATAGTAGTTTTTGTCTCTTTGTTTTAACAATGCTTCTCTTTGGGATCTTTTTTATTTTTGCATCTTTCATGGGCTCAATGACTTTAAAAGAAGAAATATTAACAGTCACTTCATTGCTTAGTAATCCATCCATGCTTTTACAGTAAAATAAATCACTTCACAAGGAAAATGTGTGTGAAACTCCCAGTTTTCTAATATTATGTGACAAAGAAAATTTGTAGATATCATCAACAAATGTGACTTTTGTAAAGAGAAAGAAGACAATAAAACATTTACTTTATAATATTATGGAGAAAATTAATGGAATATTTGGCCAAAGTGAAACAAATCATACAGTTAATTTGGAAGCCAAATATATGATAAAATATCATTCTGTGTTTTGAGAAAAAGAAAAAAATCAAGACTGTCAACCTATTAATCTCATTAGGTAAATCCACATTTTCAAAAATCTCACCCATCCATCAAACTATTCATTATTGAATTTAGAAATGACATTGATACTGTAAAAGTTACTAATAATAAGAAAAGTATAGGCACTTTCTTTGAGAGGTTTTTTTAAAAAAAAAAAAAAAGATTTAATGTAGAATGCCTTCTTATCTTCTTTTGCATTATAATGTTACTACTGGAAAGCTAATTTTATACATTACACAGTATGCTGGTATGCAGCCTAAGGACAGAGGGTGTATACTGTATAGATTGCAATGCCTCTATCAATAATGCCTAATTTCGTAAGTAAATGTGAGATATATATATATATAAATTGCACTGTCTGTTCTTCAACACTTTCCACAAGGTTTAGGTTTAGAAAGCTGGTTTTGGCTTATCTTCACGAATACTAACTAGCACTTTCTTTTCACTGACTTGCTTTTGTTTACTAATGGTTAAGGAGGAGCAGTTAAAAAAACACCTTGAATGGCAGTAGTGATCCCCAAAATTCAAATGGCTTAGGCTGATTGTTCGCAGCACCAGGACAACAGAGGCGAGTCTCAGCCAGCCTTTCAGACGAGCATGACAGAAGCTCTTAGATCTGCCGGATGAATGACTATATATACATCTAAAAGCACATCAGAGTCAGGCCTCACACCCCCACTACTAATTGCCTTTGCTAATGAACCAATTAATTCAGAAGGCAGAGCATAATTGAAATGCAGACAGTAGAGTAATGCAAAAACGGTCAGTGAGTGCATTTTTGATGTCCCTGCTCCTTTCATATGTCCGTGATGACGACCCACAGCTGACAGTGATATCTTTAAAATTGCTCTCATCTTCTAGTGTTTAAATATGTATGTTGATGTGATGATGGCTCCCTGATGAAGTGAATCTAGTCAAAAATCAGTGATTATAAGTTGAGTATATGGATTTAGTCCAAGTCAGGTAACTAAAGTTCATTCAATTACAGCTTCAGGGTAACCAAGAAACAGATCTTAATCAAGACAAGATTCAGATTCACTGCTATTTTATATTATATGCTATACTATATACTTATTCATACTTAAAACGTTTTATTTATTATACTTAATAAAGAACATTATCTGTCTCCTGAACTATAATAACAGTGTTTGATTTGAGCTGGTTTCAGCATCTTACTGCTTACAGTACATTAAAGAAATAGTAATAGCAACAGTGAAATGAAATCAGCTGGTTAGCTTATCTTAGCATAAAGACTGGAAATGGGGAAACAGCCAACATGGCTCTGTGCAAAGGTAACAAAATGTAATTTACATGTTATATCTTGCTTGCTATCTTAATCCTTTAAAAAAAACTGCGTAAAAGTTGTGATTTCAGGGTCCCGAGGTTAAGTGGCCAAGAATCACTTTGGCACATAGGCTATATTCCCTTCATGAAACTGTGAATCGTAGCTTGTTTACTTTGGTTTTTGTATGGATTACACAAATGAGATATAGTATAGTGGTACTGACCAGAAAGTATATTCTACTACAATGTTAAACTCTTCCTTTGAACTTAATTTCAGTGAAGCCGGCACAGACCTGTGGTAAAATCCTCATCTGACACATAAACTGACAGAGAGACATGTCAATGTCATCTTCTGAATCTTACATGTCAAATTAAAATGAGGCTCAGAAATGTCAATGTATGGCTCAACTTTCCATCAGTCCCTCCCTACTATGAGCTGAGTGTTTAGGACATTAAGGTCGTAGACATCACGACTCCTGCACTTTAAGTTGTGTCACCTGCCACTGACTCGACTTTGAATGGAGCAATCTGCCCTCATTGTGGATGGGACAGAGGAGCGAGCATGTCTGTACCTACACTCAGACCACAGCTATGACCAAAGATAAACTGGAACAATATTTTCATGTGGCAATTTGTGTATCACATGACAGAGATGATTATTAATTCTAACTCCTCATTAATAATTCAGTCTGTGCAGCATGTCTTTGTTCCCTCTCTCTCCTCCCCTGAATCCATCCCAACACACACACAACACGAATTTCCTTCCTCGTCTAATAATGGAGGCCAAGAAAACTGTGAACAGTGAAAGCCAAGGTTTGGTGACTGTGTTGTGCTGATTAGGATTTCTCTCACTGGGGAAGCCTGATTCTTACACACAACAGATGGCGATCCTGGCCGTCGACTCTCTAATCCTCAGTTGTCAGGAGGATCACAGCTGTATACAAGTTCCCTCTGTTGAGACACAAGTCTCTCGTCAGCTTTAGAAACCTGTAGTGGTGTGAGTTGTGTTGTGGAGATGGAATAAAACTTCTGCAATTATAATTGGTATACTGATATTAGATGTTAGGTAGTATATGGTATATTTGGATAGGCCACACTAGATTCAGAAGATGATTGTGGAAGCGCAAAGCGACCAACAACATCGAAGAGACAAGAAACAACTGAAAAGAGATGCAAAATGATCAAAAAGAGAAACAAAACTACCACAGAGGTGCCAAACGACCGTAAAGAGAGACAGAACAACCACAAAGAAACACAAAACCACAAATGGATACAAAATGACAAGTGATACAAAACCAATACAAACAGATGCAAAATGACTATGCTTACGATGCAAAGCAGTATTGATTTTATTATACATTCTAACTATTAATAACATACAGTTTTTATTGCCTCAAACCAGGACTTTAAATTTGAGTCTTTTTATTTAATTTCCCAAATGTTACCCATTCTTTAAAACTGTGCCCTATTCAATAGTTTCTAAACCCGCCCTGTACGTGTTGAGTATGTGGTTAAAGACTGATTGGGTGAAGGGGAAGCTGCATGATAACTCATTGCAGCCTCCAACAAACACTGGTAAGCTTCCTTTGTGATAACAGTTACACTGACAGTTCAAACACAGTCTGTCTGCACATAGGTAAACTTCCTTTGTGGTCACACCTGCACTTTCACTTACTAACTCATTACGTCTGACAAAGGAGTGGGCTTTTCCAAAATGTCAACCTCTTTGTTTAAAAAATATGTGATTATTTAACCAGACTCTGATTGGGTTAATGAAACGTCTTATAAAAAACAACAATGAGATTCAGCTCAACGCAGGTCAAATCCTATTTCAATGCAACCTCTTCTGCACGGCCCTTTCTCTTATGTAATGAACCTGTTTTGTTGTTTTGGGCTGCTTGTTGATTGAGTGTTTTCACATTTAATAAGGACAACCTTTTGCACTTGTGGTACATAAAAATCTTTTGTTTCTCTGCATTCAATTATCTTAACACAGCATTCATTTTGCCTTTCAAAATAAATGTCAGATCATGCTGATAGTTACAGTTCAAATACCATTTTGTTTGATGTCAGTTTTACCACCTGCAGGTGGGATGCTGAAACCTTTGGTTCGTCTTTCAGTTGAACTGAAATATAGTTAAATAACATATCACAAAATTAAATGATTACATGAATCTGCATTTATTGTTTGAAATACTTGACTACATGATCTGGAGAAACTGGAGATCTGTTAATAATCACACTTCTTTGTCATCATATGTGTCTAAAACTGCTTTCTCTCTCATCCTTTTCTTTCATTTATGACCTGAAGATAGGTCCTCATGGTGGTAACATAATGTTGTAAAGGCAGCTGTAATTTAAATACAAGCCATTAGTTCCCCTGATGCTTTGCTGAACTTCCTCAGGATGAGTAATACAGTATGAAGAGTGTACAGTATGAACAGTAATGAAGTATAAAATTCACAGGAGGGTGACAGAAATCAGGCCTATGTGAAATTGAGAAAGCCAATGCTTAAAGCCTCCACACGAAATACTCCACCCGAACAGGTGTTTTCACTCCTTCCTTCTTCCCAGGTTGTGCTTGATTGGTATGTTGCACCTGTGTGGTGCATACAGAGCTCCGCCCAGCCTGCACTGGAGCAAAGACCTAATCAGCCAATTGACAACACCTGTGTGAGTGTGCTGAGGCTTTATAAAAACCTACCACCATACACACTCATGAACGACATTGTCAAGGAAATAGGCAACTCAATTCAATCTATACCATTGCAAATGATACAGAGAACAACATTGTAAAGTCAGACATGATCATTTTGGAGGATGAAGGTTATATGACTGCTGAATCATATTACATTATATTGACTGGCTGTTTCTATCAGTGAGGGACACACCTCTCTGTATAACACTGGACAGTTCAATAGCTGTTGAATTAGATATTCGTTTTAGCTAGGTGTACCTAATAAACTGGCAACTGAGTGTAGGTTATGACTATTGCTTCTCCAGAGTCA